AACTGACTTCAACGAACTGGGGCACCACCTTGATCAAAAAAACAGAAAAGCTGGGCAGATGCTCTTGGTCAACCAACCCCCGAAGAAGCTCGCATTTTTCATCGTAAAAATGATGATAAACATTGATCAACTGATACTTAAATTCTGCGGTACCCTATTTTCACACATAGCAATTTATCATCATTTATGCAAATATTATATCATCATGATCATCTGTCCAGTCGTTATGCATTTCTGGGCTGCTCTGTTGCCATTTCACCACTTTCCCCTTCCCCTTCCCCCGTCACGTTTCGCTGGAGTTGGCGACGGATTTCTTGAACTTCAGCAGCAGGGGAAATGACCGTCCTAGCTAGTCGTGCATGTGCCGCACCCAGGAAGCGTCAATGGGGGTATAATCCATACACAAATGCTCCATGTATGGAGTATTTACTTCCATTTATCCCAAGAATGGCTCAATTGTAGGTAAAGATTCATGAAATAAACATCAATCTGTAGCATTTGTTAAAAAAACTGTGCCACTAAAGAGAGCCACAAAACATTCCATATAGATCAAAATTATGGGATATTAATAAGGTCTTTGGCAATTTCCCGTTTTTTTGTTAAAGCGCTGGGTCTATTTTAAGTTGTCAACCAACTTACTGATTAGATTGATTTAGATTGCCATTGGTGGAATCCTCCATGATTGCAAACCACTTGGCCAGCTGGTTGTTGGGTTAGCTAACATTGATATAATAAATAAGAAAAGATATGATAAGATAAGATAAGATTAGATAGACAATCAGATTAAACATGTCAAAAAAATAGAACATTTGGACACCTGGAAATTAAAGGTAAAGCATTGTCCAATGCCATGATGGTCAATACGTTTCTATCTTTCTTAGAGGTTCACTATGTGTCTAATTATAATATTCACTATATTCACTATATTCACTATGTTTATCATTATTATGTCTAATTATAATATTCACTATGTGTCTAATTATTTGTATAATTATAATATATGTTTATCATTGTTTATACATCATTATGTTATGACAGTTATAGAATATGTTAGCCACCCGGCTCCCCGGGCTCCCCGCGCTCGGTTTCTCCCCTCCTGGTGGTCAATCGGTCGATCAACCTCGCACTTGGTGGTTCGATGTTCAATGCACAGCTGAGCCGACTTGAACGAGGCATGGCGCGAGAATTCACTGCGCTAGTGGTGCCGGAAGCGAACCCAAATGCAAAATCTGCGAGGTCGTGGATGAGCCATAAATATCCATAAATGAGGAACACGGCATCAGATTTGGATTGCAATCTGCGAGGTCATACCTGATTTGGATCATTGAAACCTGTGCTTTGGTCTTCCCAAATACCAGCTGGGCTTAATTGTTGATATAGTTGGAATCTCAACATGTCCTCGAAAATTCTTTGTTGCCAAAATGCTATTTGAGTTTGCGGATTCAATCAACCAAATTTATATGTCCAGGATATTATCATTTCTATCCATTTCTAGGGATACTGCAATGGGACACCAGGACGTTTCTTTGTCAAATCCCTGGCCCGAATTGTGTTGCTGCCATGCCACAGGCGCAGGGGGCCTGATGGCGGACCAGCAAAACATGTGGTTTATGCATAAAAATTTTGAGATTTTAGATGCCAAAATAGCCTGGGGTAAACTAACATGATATAGGATCTAAACATCATTTTGGGCTTCTAAATATCAAAATACCATGAAATAAACTGATTTAGATGTGGAAAACCGATCTTTTCTTTCGGACAATGATCTACAAATGGTATAGTTTCCCACATCTAACATGGTCCAATCATCGAAACTGGTGCTTTCACAATCAAACATGAGGGTTTAACCGTCAAACCCGGGGATTTAACTACAAGCTGGAACCTGGAACACATTTAATAACAGCGCAATGCTGGTTGCTATCTAGCTATCAAACAAGCGGAGTCATCCCGGTAAAAAAGGGGAGACATGTGTGACCACATTTTAAGCCACAGGCATATCAAGCATGAACAACTTTGGCCAAATACTTCTCAAGAAGTGAAGAGAAACCAACCCATGTGTGGATGTGTCAACATGTGTGGAGATTCATAACCAACGAACAAATCCTTTCGTACCAGATGGTAACCCCAATCAACATCCTACAGTGAGAGCTACTTTGGTAACTTCCCTGTCCTCTTGAAAACCAGTATGGCCACAATACATCACAATACACGATGTTCTCCTATTCCAAACACGGCCAATCTTAGAGCCCTGGGTGGTTCTTTCGGCTTGCTGCCACCCAATCCTCCCAAACTTCCGCGCCAAAAACAAAAACATGTTCAAGTCTCAAAATAACCATGGTTTCCAGAGTTTTTCATGGCATTTCATGGCACATTTGGTCAAGTCACCGCCCTTGTACCCCTTTCACATCAAAATCGCTGGGATTTATGGATGTTCATCATGTTCATCCCCCTAAAAATTGCTACTAATTGCTATTGATCCATAGCCAAATCTTCGCATCTTTGCCACCCACAGATCTGGGACCCGTAAAATTCAATCGCCTCCAAGGCTGCACTGCCATCGGCCCATGGCAAGTGATGTAGATGCACTTGCAGATAATATGTATATATTATATATATAATCCATATATAAATATATTATATTATATATATACAATACATACATACATACATACATATATATATATGTATATATATATATGTATATATATATATATGCGCCACGGTCAATATTCGGTATTTTGCTCCAAGTCATCAATCTTTGAAAAGTGTATTATCGTTTTCAGGTTTTGGTATATAAGCAAATGTTATCGTTGTTTGAAGAGTGTATTATCGTTTTCCAAGCCCCAGCTCAATTTCCAACAAATAAAGATGTCTCGAATACTACTCTCCATTAACCTAAATTTTGGCTGTAGCTCATATATATATATATATATATAAACATGTATAATACCTGGAAGTGCACTTGCAGCAAATGGATATGTGACCATAGCACGGTTATATCCCAACAGTAATGCTGGCTGGATTGCAATGTAATTCACCAACCTGAAAGGAGCTATTTCCTTGTTGGGCCATTTGGGGATGATTCCCCTAATCCTAACCATCATTCCAATGACATCACAGTGAGGTCATTATAATTCATATATATATATATATTATATACACATACGTGTAGTAATCGAATGACATGGAATTTCAAACACATGCCCAATTTGATGAAAACCATGTTTGACATTTCCATTGTTTATCTTCTCAGGATGCATGTTAGATAAGTATGGATATTGATGGATATTGCATGTTATGAAGGAACAAACAAAAGCTTGATGACTATGTACCATGCTTATCAACATTGTTAATGTAGTCATACTGTTCAAGATAGCCATATGGGACATGGTTTCCTTATTGTACTTGGATGAAGCATGCAGCACTGGCCATGTTTGATGACTTTGATCCAGACCCCAGATATTGAAACTGAGCTGCTTCGTGGTCGTTTTAAACCATCACAACCGTATCTGCCTTCAGGCCAAGTGAAATGAAGTGTTAAAAGCCAGCAACTTGGCCACCATTTTAATTCCCAATCTTAGATAGCCTGCATATGCCTGCATTTTTCCTTAGGCAAGAGATCAAACAACTCCAGTTGATCCAAATACCCTCCGGTCACCAAATATGGCTTGGTAAATCTTCCCATTATAACATATAAAAAATAACTTCCATGTATCATATTATCATGTACCATAAATGGTAATTTAACATAACTATTGAAAATTGCCCTTTATAGTTGATTTCCCATTTATAGATGGTTATAAATGGTCCATTTAGAGCTGATTTACCAATTCAAAATGGTGATTTTCCATAGTTTTTGTATGTTTACCAGAGGGTATGGTGAATTTTCCATTCAATTCTCATTAAGCCATATTAACTCTGGAATATCTACTGGAATATATTCCCATTAAGCCATATTAACTCTGGTGATATCTACCATAAGCCCCGGTTAACTTCAATCTCCAAGTCGAGCAGCATCCGTCCGTCCACGACTTTTCATGTTCAATTTATGAGTTGGAGATGATAAACAAATATTAGAAAGTTAACATTAGTATATATCTCCATGGTTAGAGATATTTCTGACTTCTATAGTACATATATATATAGAGTATACCACGATTAACATTAGTGGTCCGAAAAACTATTTGTGGTCCACTATGAAAGATATATTTTTGACAATTATACAACCATTATATATTAGTGAATATATAGCGAGTTAACAATAATTAGATAAGTATTAGTGTGTAGAAAATTCATTACTACTATCATTGTTACACCAAATTATATGTTCGAATAGTGTATACCATCAATATTGTATCTCAAGTTCTATCGTGGTTCTTGATGATTGCATGAACTAGTTGTTAAACAAGTTCCAATTATTTTTGCTCGCCATTGGTTACAATCACAGGAGCTGACATGAATTGCCCAGATATACAAAATGATCCATTCTTTTTGTCTGTTGTGGCGTCTACCTCTTGGACAGTTTTGTACCATGGCTTTCACTCCCCCTTTGGATCTATGTGGAACTAAGTCAAAACATGGTTATGAACATGGAAATTAAACCTCTCAGCAAGCGTTTTCCAAGCATAGAATCCCTTCACTTCAGGGTTACGATAAAAACTATCTGCTTCAACTGCTTCAACCTCCACGCTCTACGCACCATCCGTGTTTTCCACGCTGCTGTGTGCTGCTTTGCAGCCCACGGCATCAGGGATCATCCATAGGGGTGATACAAAAAAGATGTCCGGAGATTATCATGGAATGTTTCAGAATCTATCAACTTTGTAGACATTATATCATTATGCACTGAATTTAGTGTCTATTTGTGGCTTCGCACAGTAAAGATGTTAAACAAATTCAAACATTTTACCTTCAAAATTCGAAAAAAAAACATGCTTTTTTTGGGGACCAACATCAGAAAGATTGCTACTGTAAGTGTTTACATCCTATTTCAAATCGTGTTAAACAATGTTAAACCATGTCCAACAGGATCTTCCTACTTTCAGCCCGGCCTTGACCCCTGCGCCGGCGCCGGCGCCGGCATGGCCGTGGCCGACATGGGCATCGGCAGTGGCCCAGGTGGCACAGGTGGCCGTGGTAGGGGAGGCATCCAGGAAACCTGCGGGCAGCATTGAAAATTATACTATGACTGGTTGGTGGTGCAATAGCCATCTTGAAAAATATGAGTCAAAGGGAAGGATGACATCCCATATATGAAATGGAAAATAAAAAATGTTTGAAACCACCAACCAGATGAGTATAGATGGAAATAGTACTATACTGCATAAGTATAATTCATTTCCATCTATCTATTATGTACATATGGACGTGAAACCATAGCTTTTTGGATTGTAGATAACTTATACCATAATGATTTCAATTTTGTATTTATGGGGATTTAACCGTCTAATGTGGCTTCAACCACCATAAACGAGGGATGTAAATGATCATATTGGCTATGGCTCAAACATGGCAGTGTATCAAAGGACCCATAAAAGGCGGCTGATTTTAAGGATCTAAAACATGCTATCTCAACTCAAGTCAGCACTGTACTGCACAGCAAACAAGTTCCAACCGTCATACTTAAATTATATAAACTGAATATATCTGTCTACATAAAACTGATTATATGTAATTAATTGTATCAAATTACATCAAATGACATCAAATGACGAAGCAGATTTCGATTATTTTCAAAGTGCCCATACACATCAACCTATCAACCACCATGGAGAAGTCGGTTGGGAATGCTTTCCCGGGCATTGGCATCCGCAGGTTCAAGTCCCCAGCCCAGGCCACCTGTTGCGGCCGTGGTGTCGCCGAATGCATGCGAGCCGGCCATTGAACCTGATTCTGCCTTTCCAGGGACGAGCTCTGGTTGTGCCAGTGAATTTGGGAGATGAATCCGTACAAATGCTACGGGCCAATGATCATCCTTGGATGTTTTTTCTCCCTGACTGGTAATATGGGCCACATGTTCATGCAATGTGAACCAAATTCCCATCGAGTCAAATTATTTCAAATGCTCTGCAGGAACCGAGTCACGGTGCCAAAATCAGTCTGTGCAGGAAATGTGTGTGTCTCGGCCCCGGTGATGCGCGGCATTTTCGCGCGAAAACGCGAAAACGGGCAGCAAAACGCGAAAACGCGAAAACCGCGAAAACGCGCACGGAAGTACAAGAGCGCCAAAGTTGGACAGCTATGATCATCTCCGGATCTAGCGGCACGTCAATGCAAAATAATTATATTGCACTGCAATAGCGGTGTTGATCTGTGTTGCACTGCGACTTCAAGTCCAGAGTAGTGGAATGCAGGTTCATGTGATGTGAATGTTTTTTGCGGTATCTATAGATCTATATTTCATTCCAGCCCTACCTACCTACCTAGCTAGCTAGCTACCTACCTACGTATCCATCCATCCATCCGTCCGTCCGTCCGTCCGTCCATCCAATCTATCTAATCTATCTAATCTACCTATCTATTCTAATCTATCTATCTAGTCCATCTGTTTTATCTAATCTATCCGATCTATCATATCCATCCATCCATCCATCCATCCATCTATCTATCTGTCTATCTATCTATGTAAGCTATGTACCTAAGCTATGTATCTAAGCTATGTATCTCAGCTATGTATCTAAGCTATGTATCTAAGCTATGTATCTAAGCTACGTATCTATGTATCTATGTATCTATGTATCTATGTATCTATGTATCTATGTATCTATGTATCTATGTATCTGTGTGTCTAAGCTATGTATCTATGAATCTATGTATCTCTGTATCTGCGTATCCATGTGTCTATGTATCCATGCATCTATCCCACTCTCTCTCTCTCTTTCTCGTCATCTCTCTGTTTATCTATCGATCAATCTACCAGGCCGTCTATCTATCTACCCATCCATCTGTATATCACCTATCTTCGCCTTATCTATCTGCCTACCTACCTACGTACCTCTCTATCTCTCTATATCTCTATCTCTCTATCTCTCTATCTATCTGTCTATCTATCTATCTATCTTTCCATCTATCTATCTATCTATTTATCTAAATTTCCTCTATCGCTTGTCTAATCCTTCCCAACCTTTAATTTTCTGTCATCCAATCTACCTGTACTTAGTGTTCTTGTTATGCATCCGTGTTTTCATCAAAATTCGACGGACATATTTATGCATATTCCTGTAGTCTGCATTTATGTTCTCATCTATGCTGGCATCTTTGTTTGTTTGTATGTATCGAGGTGGTGCATTGCAATGCAAGCAAAAAGAAAAGTGGCAACATAATGAAACTTAACGGACTGCCTTTATGCCTGCAGGCACGTGTGCATGCATGTTTCGGAGGTATGTATGCATGCATGTGCCTCTCTTTGCATCGATCTTTGTATCTATTTATGTAGCTGGCGCAGCGCGTTGTAATATGATGCATGTGATGTAATGCCTTGTAATTTCAACCAACATATATATATATTACATATATATATATATTATACATATATATAAATATATATTATACAAATATATATATATACATATTACACATATATATAAATAGGGTTTACATATATATATATTATACACATATATATATTATACATATATCTATTTTACATATATTTATATTATACATATATATATATACATATTACACACATATATATATGGTTTACATATATATATGGTTTACATCTATATATATGGTTTACATATATATATATATTTATATACATATGTTATATATATATATGTCATATATATATATACATATATCATATATATTTATATTATACATATATATTTTACATATATATATATATTATACATTTATATACATATATATATATTACACACACATATATGTATATATATATATATATTCAAGATGTACATTAATTTACGGGCATACACGTTTATGCATGTAATGCAACGTATATGTGAGTGTGTTTGGATGCACGGATGAGCGTGTATTATGTGAAATCCAGCATTGCGGTGTCGTGTGGCGTCACGTAACAGAAAATGTAATGCCGCACAACGAAGTGGGATGCATCTTTGTATGTATCTTTGTATGTGTACAGCTATGTATGTCTCTATGTAACTATGTATGTCTCTATGTATGTCTCCTTGTATGTCTCTATGTATGTCTCTATGTATATCTCTATATATGTCTCTATGTATTTATGTATGTCTCTATGTATCAATGAATGTCTCTATGTGTGAACATTATGGAATGCCTTGCCATGAATCGGACGGTGAACACAACGAAAACATGCATGTACCGATGTATGTACGATTCTCACATGATCTACGTATATGAAATGCAGCGTAACGTCGTAGCATGTTGTGCATTTATGCGTCTATGAATCTCGGTATCTTTGGCGTGTGTGTGTGTGAGGATGTTTGCCATACATGTGTGCATATGCATCTATGCTAGAATCAGTGTATTTATGTATACATCCATATTTCTATGTATGTACCTATATGTGTGCGTTCATGTTAGTACCCTTGAAATTACATCATTCCAATGCAGCGTAGTGTAGCGCAATGGATTGTAATGCAGTGAAATATACTGTAGTGCAATGTAATGTAGTAGAATGTAGTTTGATGCAATGCAATGCAGGTAATCTAAGGGAAGGGCAGGAAACGAAATTAACATAATGTACTGCGTGTTTGTCCGTATGTGTTGTGTTGTAAAGTAACGTGGCGTAGCGTATTGTCTGTCTTGTATTGTGTTGTATTGTGCTGTACTCCTTTGTATTGTATTGCATGGGAGTGTCCTGTGATGTGTTCGAAATATGTTTTTGTATCTATCTTTCTGCCTATGTATGCACTTTTGTATCTGTGTATCATTTTGTATCTATGTATCTATATGTTGATGTATGAGCAGATGGAGGGGTTGGTGTGTGCACAAAAATGCAAGTACATGAACATGTAAGTGTAGTACGCATATTATGTGTATATATATATAGTTGATTGTAAATGTAAAGGTAAGAGACATGTAATGTAAGTGTGTGTGTGTGCTTGCAAGTCTGCAAATGGCTGTTATGACAAGGCAACCGGCACTTCTCTATTTAGATTTCTGTTTGAAAATAATATGGCATGGAAATATCAAAGGCGGAAATGCGAAAACAACAAGAACGGCGCAAGCAGCCAAAAAACAAAAACTGCGAAAACTGCGAAAACCGCGAAAACTGCGAGAACAGCGAAAACCGCGAAAACGCGAAAATCGCGAAAACCGCGAAACTGCGAAAACCGCGAAACACGAAAACTACGAAAACCGCGAAACACGCAAAAACCACGAAAACTGCGAGAGCATTGAACCTGGGGAGCCATTTGGATTCGAAAAACAAGGCCGGAGGCCGTTTGAGTCATTTGGCCTTAAAAAAGGGATTTGGCCTCGAAAATGGATTTGGCCCCGTGAAAACGTGAAAACACGAAATTCCACACCAAGGACGTGAAAATCACGAAAAACGTGTAATTTCTCACCTTGGAGCGTGAAAATGCGAAAAAACATGAAAATTCACATCTGCAAGCGTGAAAATCACCAAAATCCACATCAGCGATCGTGAATGCGTGAAAATTCGCACTGGGAAGCACGAAAATCACAAAAAAGCGTGAACATTCACATCTTGGACCGTGAAAATCGTGAAAAACGTGAAAATCACATCTTGTAGTGTGAAAATCATGAAAAGCCGCACAGTGAATGCGAAAACACGAAATTCACACCCGGAAGCGTGAAAATCATGAAACACGTGAAAATTGACACCTGCCTTGGAAATCGTGTGAAAATGAAAAAAATCAACATTGTTCTTCGCTGGGCCAACTTACCCTGTACAATAGGTAGCGTCAGTGGCCCAATATGATCCAGTGCTCTGATTCAACAAGTCCCTGTACGCATTTTGCCCACAGCTTCTCCAGATCGAGGCCCGAAACCGCGGAAACACAGATCCTAACTGCCTCCATGGTTTCACCCGCAAATTCACACGCTCCCAGACTATTACTCCGTCTCTTTCGGGAAAAAAGAGAATAGCGTAAAGATAGATAAAGAAAGGGATAGGAATATAAGGGCGAAGATTTAGATAGACAACAGATAGGTAGATATTGAGGTAGGTGTCTATAAGACATAGACGTAGGTGTTTATATTTGCCTACTTATCTATGCATCTATCTCTCTACATATATGTGCATAAATATACAAATACATATACACATACATAAATAAATAAAAGTTGATATGTATATATACACATATTTATTTATTTGTGTTTAGTTCATCTTTTGCTGCAACAATTTTCTGACTCCGGCTGACAAATCAGCTATCATGGGTCGGTCAACCCATGATTTTTGTTCTGCAACCTTTACGAAAAGGTCCTAAAAAACCACGCATGTGGCGGAATGTTTTTCCTGCACGCGCTGAAATTCGCGCATGCCGCCCGCAGCGTTCTGGGCACAATGAAGCATGCAGCTGAAACCATCAGTAAGAACCATGGATTTCACTTTTTCCCCAGAACCCAGTGTGCCAAGAAATGGCCAAAATCGGGTACCAATCCAGTTTGCTCTTTGATTTTCACCGTGCGGTTCCTCCATGCATGCCATGACCCTTTGATGATCCATGCTGAAGGCAAAACTGATCGGGACCAGTGACCCATGGAATTTGATGAAAGGAAAAATGGAATCAGATGTGTTGTTTTTCATATCTGTTCACAGGTGGGTATGGATATAAAATGATGTATGTGCCTGTCATCTGGCCCCTGACATCGGTGCTTGGTCACGTCGCGTGAAACTGCAGGCGGTCGAACTGGTCCTGGCTTCTACTATCATTTGCAGTATGGTGCCTTGGGCCTGTTCGATGAAAAGGTGTTACAAGGATGTCTGTCATCCGCAAAGAATCACCACATGGTGTCACACCTATATGTCCCCAAGCCATTTTCCTGAATGGGACGTACCATACTGTGCTGGTAGATGTTTTCTTTGGTTGAAGATATCCCTATACATTACCTTGGGACACGGTTGAAATTCCTCGCTTGCCAGGCTCAATTCCCACACATCAGAGGTGCCTCCCACCCGCCTGAGCGGATCCGTGGCAGTGTGGGTCTGGGTCGATGGTGCACATATGTGTAATTTAAAGCTTCATCAAAGCATCTTTAAATGTCTTAATGCAGGCATTTAAGGGCTTCAGTTCGGCTGCATTCAGCCACCAGCAGTCGATTTTCACGATGTCTGATGGAAGCGATGATGAAGGAACTGAGCCCACGGATGTGCGAATGTTCATCCAAGCTTTTCATGACGAACCGCGCATGAAATCGGTTCCTGACAATTCGTTTCAACGGAATCCTTTTTTTTGGAGGGTTGGTGTGTGGCAACCGGTAACCCACCAAACTTAGCGCATTGACCTGCCAACCCTTGCGCTCCCAGGTTGGCATGACGGTGCTCATTGACCAAAGTGGTCACTTGTTCGGCAAAAAGAAGTGCAGCATCAAAGATCTCATTGTCAACAAAGAGGCTGGGCTCGCAAACATTCTTATGGAATCTTATGGGCCCCATATGTGTTAAAGTGAGGTAGCGTTGCCTCTGCATAAATTCGGTTTTCGCTTTGACGGATATATCGATCTACAATATATGTTTTTTTTACGGCGATCGATCTAAAGGTCCTCGTAAAGAGTTTTAATTGCGAAGACCGTTCATGTTATTGGGAGCCCTCGCGAAAGTTTTTTTCGAGTTCGCGAAAGTAACATTTTTTTCGCGAGAGTTTCGCGAAAGTTGGGTATTATAATCATTATGTCGTTACGTAAAGGGCTGCCACCCACTGCCGCCTGGGGTCCGGCAGGAGAAGGGCACCGGAGAATTTCGGTTTGGTTCTGGTTTAATTTCTTGTGTGGATTTGTGTGGTGATGCTTTTGGACAATCGATCATAAGTAGCTGCCGAGCTTCCAAAGGTGAGGCTTTGGGACAGCCAAACACCATGGTCCTGAAGCACATCCTTGCACCTGCCGCTGTCACTGCCTAATGATGATTTTTGAAGTCTCAAGAAACAAGCTCCAAATGCAGCAGCCAAGTTTCGTCCAAGAGTGAGGCTTTGCGAGAGCCAAACACCAAGGCTCCTGGTGTTCGCTTTTCCTTCGATGCGCCCCCTGCTGATGGCCGGGGTCTGTGACTAGGGATTTGTTCGCGAAATTTCCGCGAAAGTTCTGCGAAGGAGCGGGCGAAAGTCAAAGTGCATGTTGAAGGGGGTGGGTCAGTAAACCTTGCAAAAAAAAACTAGTCAGCAACAATCTGTCCTGAGAAGGGGTTCCATGATCCTAGTTGCATGTTGAAAAAGGCTATGAAGAAGTGATCCGTGATTCTCTGGCATAACTTGGCAGGTGGTGAACGAATCTTCATAAGAGGTATTGTTGCCCAACATGGGCCCCACGAAAGATAAACATGGAGTTCGCGAAAGCTTCGCGAAAGTAGCATTTTTATTCACGAAGAATTGCCGTTTGCGGAAACAGGAATTTTGATCAACCATCATATATACTTACATTTCGCGTATGTACATATAAATATATATAGAGAGAGACATAACAAAACATTGATTTTTATTTGCAATGGTTCAGAGATCCACCTTTGGAGGTGCTCCTAGCGGTGGTAAAGGCATTGGGAGACCGTCCAAGAGTATCCGCTTATACTCTGCAAGATGCATTGCTGGGCTTTTATACAGAAGCAAAGCTATACCCCTCGGGTGTGTTTTCGGAGATTCCTGCTGTCCAAGATTGGGCATTGAAACAAGCTATTGGCATCAAGAAGTTGGTTACTTGTCCAAACTTAATCGATGTGAAATCCACATTTATTGCAACAACTTTGATGGCTGAAGAAGAGTTTCCCCGCCAGATTTATCTTTGCCTTAAATGCTCCAACTCCCAGGTTTCGAGATTGCGTCGGTTGATGAAGCGCTCAAGCACTTCAAAGCACAGAAAGCTTACAGAGGTCAAAGCCATTGCCCGGCGCAGTGGTTGGTGTAAGGTCACGAAAGCGAAGACGGCAAGTTCTGATGATGATGATGATTCATGGTGTAAAATTCAATTTTGGGACCATTCATCGTGACCAAATCTTTTGGTGGATGGAAAACGTAATCTGGACCCCGTACTTCAAGTTTCTGTGACGAACCAACTCCACAGTGGACATATTCCCTTAATTTTGTTTACTAGCATTTTCCAAACCTGCACCGGTGCCCAGGAGAGCGATGAGCGGGCGAGTCTGGGTGATCCGGACGATCTCGAGGAGCTGGCATCTTCGTCCACAACGACACCTGGCTCGTCGGAAGTGTCTTTGGCATCGGGATCAACGGGTTTGGCTGGTTCCAAATTGGAACGTGTCATCCAGCAGCTAAAGGATATCAAACTTCGCTGGGAAACCCCGGCGCCAGTGATGGCACCACCTGATCAAACTCCAGGAAAAATGACAGCCATGAATTGTGTGACTGTGGACTCCTCTGATGAGGAGGGCCTTGTAAGTCATGAACATGGGGATCCACCAGCACCAGCGTCGTCAGTTGACTCCAAGAACTCAACCCTTTCTCCATCCCAGCGTGTTGCCCAGTTTTTGTTGGCGAAGAAAAATGCCAGGCTAGTTGCTGCAAAAGCGGCAGTGGGTAATCCCGAGAAAACACCAGACCCCGGCAGTGATACAAACCCGTATGTGCTGCCCGATCACGTCTCAAGGTTGTGCATAGTGCATCTTTTAATTTTCCTGATTTCCGAATTGTGTATATACCTTGTTTCCCTAGCTATAGTTCATGCCCATCACAAATGGCGACATAAAACTGAGGTTTTGCAAACCATGGGGAAGATTTCATCTCCCCCTACGGCTTTTTCTTTGAAGTCACAATATGTCCAAGAGGTTTCAAAGGCTAGGGCTGCCAGTGGTGTCGAGCCTTCGGAGGATGAGGAAGTTCAGGCAGCAGCAGCGCCTGGCAGTGTGGGTGTCCCTCGATCCGCAAAGAGGAAGCGCAAGGACACCAAACAGGACGTGAAGGAAAAGGACACAGTGAAGGGTGATGACACAAACTCATGGAATTATAACGCGGTCCGTAGTGCTTACATAAAAGAGATAAGGGAACGTGATGGACTTTCATTTGCCGAAGCAAAGACTTCATGGGACAATTCTGACCAGAAATGTGAATATTTGGGGTCCGTTTCTGTTTCAGAATTGAAGCGTCGCAAGTTTATTGCGAAAGGTGTTTCGGAGAATCCATGGGCGAAAGGCAAGTTCAGCAAATAGCTGAGCTATCCATGGATGTCGCATCTCAAGAGCACGGGCTAGGGGTCAGCCGGTGATCATTGGCATCAAAAAATGTCAAAAGTGTCTTGCTTTGTTTTTGTGGGTGTGAATGCGGGCCTTTCTCACAGCTTAGGGTCTAGTCTGACGGCTGCTTCTCAAGTGGATCCAAAACTGCCGTGTGGAAACTATTTGCCTGAGTCTCAAAAGTGGGGAATAGCTTCCCAGCTCTTGCCACGATGGTAGTCCTAGAACTTCTTCGATGGCGTGCGCCGCCTATCTTCATCTTGATTGCCTGCATGATTCAATGGAATCAGCAGCTTCCACACACGGTTGATGCTTTGTTGCAGATCTGGATTCTGGTAATGGGATATGGTGGAAGTTGAGATCTTGAGTTCTTCATTTGTCTTTCGAGTTGGAAGTGCCCAGGCTTTCAAATGTTTCTTCGTGTCGGTCATTCATATGTCATGTGCATTTACGCTTTGCACATTGGTTCGTCACAGGTGCGTCTCGATTGAATGCATGGATGATACATGAAAATGCTGAGTAGAGTGCCTTTAAAGGGATGTATGTTTGTATGTCATTGTATGTAATGCATGCATATATGTGAATGCGTGCATGCGTGCATGTATGTATGTCTGTCTGCCTGTCTGTCTGTGTCTGTATGCATAGTTTATGTATGTGTGCGTGTATGTGTGCATGCATGTGTGCACATATGTATATATGTATGTATGAGTCTATGCGTGTACATATGCATGTATGTGTTTCTATGTTGTTTTGAGTTTTGCGCGCGTACTACAAATATAGGGTAACAGGTTCTTTTACTTGCCTCTGATACAAGCACCATTTTCCTGATTCCTAGGACCGAGACTTTTGTGAAATCTTTTCGGGACAAGGAGAAGTTAGTCGAGCCTTCAGATCTGTGCTTCGTCTTTCATAGTTTTGTGCAATCCATGCGTTTGCTGAAGGAAGGTGTGAATATTGAATTCTTATGGGATGCCACCGACATGAAATTTGAATCATCGAGCCAATAGTGACAAGGAATTTCCCGGTTCCTCATCAATTCCCAGTCCTCGCCTGGTGACAAAAGAGCATCCCAGGCTAACATGCTTGGCGCCTCAATCGACGTGCTGCTGGATGGCCGCTGCTTTGATCTCACTAAACCGGCAGGGTTCTTGTTTCTGGTCTGCAAAATTCAGGCAGATATGCGCGTCTAGACTCGTTTGTTGTGTGTGCACATGCTTATGCACAAATATTTGTTTGCTTTACGCAACCCTCTTATATTTACTGTTTTTGGGTTCATACATGTTTGTTTAAGTTTACGCCCCGTGAGCATGGGTTCTCTATCTATCTATAAATAAATTTTTAAAAAATATATATATATATAAAAAGATAGAATGATAGATAGATAAATAGATAGATATTTAGGTAGAGATATATATATATATATATATGAAGCAGTTGGTGTCCTTGTGCCGGTATCATAATAGCTAAAGCGGTTGTCATTTTTAAGTAGCTTTTTGAATATATCAACTCACAGTGGTGTCGTTTGGCAGCCGCACCAGTATATGTACCTTTTTCCTATATGAATTTCGTTGCATCTCTATGTATGATGGGAATTTCAGGGCTTCTGTCTGGTGGAACTCAATCTTTTGATGGGTACATCCAGGGTCTCCAATTTTGAATAAGTCTTTCACCCGCAAGCGCACCATTCAGGCTGACTTGCAACGAGATTATGCGCTGCAAACCGGGTTCTCCCGTCGTTGTAGCGCCAGACTGTCGCTCACTGTCCCTGATGTTTCTTGGTGCTTCAACCATCTATGATAACCACCTGGTTCCCGTAAACCACGGAGATGTGTCCGTAAACCACGATTATTTCAGATGTGGGTGTGGTACAACTCATCCAGCCACCAAGAGTAAGGAGTGGGAGTGCTGGACATCCAACCCCCGCGGCTTCTGAGGTCTCGCCACACCAGTGGAAGGACTGCCCTGCAGCCGTACGGCAATGTGGGGTACGATTTCGTGAAGGTTGGAAATATCCTTTCCTCGCGTGCAGTTTTATTCTGCTTACTGGCTTCCATGTGTGGCTGCAGATGGTTATTGGAACAACCACGTCAAAGCTTCTTGCCAGATCTTCCGCGTTACCAATGGTTCTGGGGGTGCGTCAAGGCCAGGATGTTGGGTTCGTACTATACCCCCGATGTAATATATTTAGGGTGTGGAGGATAAGTCAAAGCCTGGTTGGGCCTACCACCATAAACGCCTTTCCTGGCGTCTTGTTTGGTATGTTAAATTTATGTTTTCTGATAAATGCAATGGGGACAAGTAACAGCATGAAAATTCTGGATGGCCCTGTTTAGGCATTTTCGGGATCTATGTATATGGGACTATTTGGTGGTGGCAGCCCTAAGATGCACAAGTTGTTTTCGAACGATGGTGGCTGGCTTGAAGCCATTTGCAGCAAAGCCAACTATATGAGCAGGGCAGACCAAGCCAAATGCGAAGTCAAAACCACAAGGCAATATCAAGACGGCAATGGGCAGAAGCGTTGCGTTGGGGCGAAAAAGGCTTTGAAAGAGTCTGCGTACCCCAGCTTAATTAATTTCTGATGTTTCCTACGTCGCTTTCTTATTACTCAATGTTTGCTTGTCAACTGTGTGCATCAAAGCTTGTACCGGTAGTATCTCAGGTACTATCCTCCAGCCTTTGGAGACTATGTGATGCAAACTGCCCGAAACCGGAAATCCGTGCCATGCTAGAATTCATGGCAATGCCGCATGCCTTTTCCATAAATGCATATGTATAAAAATACAACTTTTCGATATATACATATATATATATAATTTTATATATATATATACAAACATGCATACACACACACCATACATACATACATACATATATATATATAATTATATATATATATATATTTATATATATATATATTAAATGTGGTTCTACATATACAGATATAGACATTTGTCCGGACCGCATCTCAGGACCCACTCCCAGGGCCGCTACCTTCTGACCCAGAGTTTCCGACGGATCTCACGGACCTGGAATTGTTCAGAAAGTTCTGCTTACCGTTAGGCGATCTTTGGGATGAAGCTGCTTGGTTTCGAGCACTGGGGAAATCATCGTGTCTTTCCATGTGCAGGTTTTTAACACGATTGTGGGTGTAGCTTCTTGCAATTCTAATGTGAAAACAGAATGAATGTGATCCCGTCCCTTTCATGAGGCTGATTTGTGGTCTGTGGCAGTCTACTTGGCCCGTTCAAAGTACATGGTCATACCTGAAGGATGGGAAACTTGTCATTACTTTTCACGGTTTTGTTTTCCTCCAAGTTTGTAGATAGCTGCCTTCTAAAGCTCCATCTTGTTCCAACCCCATATTTTGCTTCTTCTTGTGAAACCATGCAAATCCTGCCGAGGAAGATGTATTGAAAGAAGTGAAGCTCCGCTAGATCCACTTTTCACCTGACCCATGCGATGCGCATGGCGCTTTCATACCTTTACTAGTTTCATATGGGGTGTCGAACCTGAACTCATGGGCTTGATTGAGACAAACTTGCGAAAATGGGTGCCCGTTAATTTCGCACATGTTCTGTTTTCTTCGGAATTTGTATCGTTTTGTACTGATCGCCAAGCGACCAAAAAAATGATAGCGTGAAAATCCGTGCGATTGGCCGTGCGAAAACGCCGAATGACCGTGAAAACCGCGTGAAAAACGTGAAAATGAAAAATGACCAAAACTGCCCGAAAAAATCACGAAAATCAAGGAAAAACAAAAAAAACGCGAAATCAAAGCCGCGAAAACCACCAGGAGCGCGAAAATCACGAAAAACGCGAAAAACACGAAAATCGCAAAAACCCGAAAAACACGAAAAAAACACGAAAAACGCGCAAATGGCCACGAAAAGCGCGCCAACGGCCCCAAAAAAGCACGAAAAACGCGAATTTTCAAAAATGCATACCAGAAGCCGCAGAAAAACGCGCGCGAAAATGTCCGAGGTTGCCCGGGAAAAACATATTCGCACGAAAATATGCGGGACAAATTCACGCATTAAAGGACATTTTGCTGCTTCGTGTCCCTTGCTTGGTCCTTTCTGTTGATATGTGGTAGCTTTTTTCCTTCTGTTGGAGACACTGAAACCTTTTCGCTAGACAGCTCATGGCGAAGACCAAGCTGACTCAAGTCAAGAAGAAGCTGGAGCTAGCAGCCAAGGCAAAGGCCGTTGCTAAGCCAGCTTTAAAAGAGCCGGTGGTGCCTCCACCGGTTAGGGTGACCGGCAAATCGGCTGATCCCACCTCAAGCGCAAGGGATAGTGAAAAGAAACCTTCCATGTCTAGGAAGGCACCTTCTCAGCAGCCAGCTGCACCTGAGACCCTTGAGACCCCTGAGAACCCTGAGACGCTTGAGACCCGCAAGGCAATGGAATTGCCACCTTTTGACATTACTTGGGACAACTTGCACAAGGTGATGGAGTGGTTCGACATGAAGGAGCACGATGCTGTTTCGGTTTTGCTCCGGGTTGTTGGACCTGATCCTCGAGGTGCACAATTCTGGGACACCTACAAGCAGCGTGTGAAGAAAGAGACGAATGATGTTGCTTTGGCCCCAAAGGATGAAGCAGCCGCCGAATCCGAGCCGAAGCGTCGTCGCTTGAGGCCAGTCCCTGAGCCTGACAATCAGCTGGGTGACCCCGATCTTTACCCGGATGTTGAGAGTGGAAATCCGGCCGTGGTGCCTGATCAGGAGATGGAGATTGATGACACGCAGCTTGATGGCGAGCCATGGGAGGAAGGAGAGGAGGAGGATGAGCGAGAAGAAGACGAAGAAGTCGAGGTTGCAGCAACAAGCCATGGTGGAGATGATCAGGACTCACCCAGTGGAGGTGCCACTACTGTGGCTGGTGATCATGACGAGACCCAGCAGGTTTGCAGCCCCATGCCGCTGGAGCCGGTCGAGCCAGTGATGGTTCCAGCTGTGGAGAACAAAGACG